CCCCCCCCCCCCCCCCCCCTCCCCCCGGTTGCTACCTGTGTCGATGCCCAGGACTCGGCTCCCATGAAGATCTACCCGCTGCCGCACATGTTCGTCCAGAAGGACCTCGTGCCAGACATGACCAACTTCTACGAGCAGTACAAAAGCATAGAGCCGTGGCTCAAGACGAAAAAAGACAAGGACCCTGACGTCGAACACCTTCAGGTGTGTCGGTGTCGTCGCGGGCAGCAGCCGCCTTTTGGCGTCGAGAAAGGATGTGTTGTGGGTGTTTGGTTCGAGGGTTGAGAGGGCTTCGTCTGGGGTCGGGCCACGTCGTAGCTGGGAATTGCTTGCAGACAGCCCTGACTTCCCAACAGGTCCTGAGAAAAATGTACCTTCCTAGCATGTTTCGGGGACCACGTACAGTCAGGGTCGAAAGCTCGAGTTTGGTAGCGCCTTGTGAGTTTTGCCATTCGCCTTTCTGTTCCTTGCATTCCCTGCACCAGTTTACAACACCCCAAGCTGGTAGCTGGTTTCTTTCACCGAAGGGACCTCCAAGCACAGCACGGACGTCTAGGACGATCATTTTTTGCACTTGGACGCCTGGAGACTTTGACGAGTTGAACTTGAGGAGGCTCTTTGGTTGGGTCACAGCAGGGACAAAGAACGTGTCTCGGCCATCCTCGTACTCTGGTGCAGCTTGAGTCATTTGTCGGTGTTGCGAGGGCAGCAAGCTTACGGTAACGCAGGCAACATATGTAATCTCCACGGGCATCGCGTTTTTTCGGAATTCCCCGTTGGCAGTCCATCCAAGATCGCAAGAAGCTGGACGGCATGTACGAGTGCATCCTCTGCGCCTGCTGCAGCACCTCGTGTCCTTCGTACTGGTGGAACGCCGACAAATACCTCGGTCCCGCAGTCCTCATGCAGGTGACGAGCGAGATGGTGGAATGGTGGAACAGGGGTGGCAGTTAGACGTACAAGGGGCCTGCAAGCAGTCATACTTGGTGCTAGCCAGTGGTGACTGCATTGCAGCGGCAGGGGGGAGTGGAGGTGGTACATAAAATTATTTGGTGCCAGCCAGTGTTGACTGCATGGCAAAAGCAGGGGGCGGTGGAGGTATACTTACGGCATGCGAACAGTCAAATTTGTTAAGAGTGTTGACTGCATTTTTGGAGACCCTTCTCCGACGTTGATGTTGCTGTCGCTGTCGCTGTTGTTGTTGTTGTTGTTGTTGTTGTTGTTGTTGTTGTTGTTGTTGTTGTTGTTGTTGTTGTTGTTGTTGTTGTTGTTGCTTTTTCGTAGCTCAAGCGCTTTCTGCTAGCCACACCACATTTGCGCCGGTGTCTTACCTGTGCTGGGTGTCGCACGAGAGCGTTCACTCTCCTTCCACAAGGAGAAGGCGGAGTGGAGAGACAAAGTGCAAACGGTGGGGTGGGGGTGGGAGGTTTTGCGCCCCTTCTTGTAGTTCCTCAGCGTTATGCGCCCCTTCCCAAATGAAGTGTGGATGGGGCACAGACGGACAGGACCGGCAGGAGATCAAAGTGTACCGTGCACCTCCTAGTTTTTGCACTCGGTTTGGTACACTATTCAAGCTCCATAAGTTCGTCTCTGTCTACTCAATTGTCTGACGCAATGATGCCTATTGTTTGCCCCCTTTTGGCCGTGTGACAGGCGTATCGCTGGATCGACGACTCGCGAGACGACTACACCAAGGAGCGCTTGGAGTTACTCGATGACGCCTTCAAGCTATTCCGGTCAGTGCTTATTCTCATGTTGGGGGGGGCAGGCAGCAGAGGACGCAATAACAACGAACGACGAACAACAATTCTCAGCTCTCGTTGGGACATTGTTTCAATCTCTCTGGTACATTCCCGCGTAAGTCGAAGCCGTGGCCGAAAGGATAATATCTATTATAGACGGCACCACTTTTTTGTCTGATGTGACTGCGGCACCTTCAAAGCCAGCTCTCCTCGCAGCCAGCATTTCGAGCAGATGTCGCACTTGACACAACCTCGGCGCTATTCCACGAGGGTTGAACTTCCGGGCGTCCTACCTTCGAGACCCCATTCCATGGTATTTCCTCCCCAATTGTTTCTCTTGCCCCCCCCACTACCCGTCTGTCGTCGCTTTACCTCTCCGCCTTGCCAAGGTGTCACACGATCATGAACTGCACAAAGACGTGCCCGAAACACCTCAACCCTGGGAAGGCGATCGCTAACATCAAGAAGCGGGTACATGCCCTCTAGGTCAGGGCGGCTACGGCAAGAATTACCCTTCACGAAAGGTCTGGAAAGACGTTGGCGACGGAAGCGATGGTATGGTGAAGACGCCTGTCATCGCTCCGTGATTTCGCCCTCGCTCTGGCGGAAGTGCGTAGCCCGAACATGAGGACACTCCCGGTACTGCCGCCGATGACAAACATAATCTAGGACCTGTTGGTATTCGCAACCTGATTTTGTTGCCCGATGGTTTCGGGCTAGAAGAAAATGATACGCCTGCGGTATGTCGAATGTTTTTCTGGAAAAGGGACGAAGATAGGACAACCTTTGACGTTCTTTCGTTTTTTGCAGTCGAGATATTCTGCCCGCTGATAGGTCAGGCTCTATAAAACTTGCGGTTGCAGCAACGGAGTTCCAAGCAGGAGGCGAACCGACGAAAATGGTCTTAAGGCCATCGATTGGCGTCGAGGCGCTTGTAATGGCTCAGGACGCAAGCCTTTTGGGGTGTGCGCATCCTGGGCGGGGGGGGGGGGGGGG